GGCCGGGCACCTACGTGCTTGGTGGGCTGCAGGTTCACGATGACCAGGCGGCCGCCCCGGCGCTTGGTGGCCAGGGGCAGGTTCCCGCTGGGCCGGATCTGCAGGGAGGTGCCCAGAGTGATGGACAGGTCTGCACTCCTGAGGACAGGACAGGGACGGGGACTTAGTGCGCGCAGAGGTGGCCCTGGGGTCCACCTGACCCTCCCCTCCGCCCAAGACCCCGGAGGAACGGTGGACCTGGGGCACTGGCACCTGGCAGCAGCCCTGGGTATGCGTGGTCTGCACATTAAAGTCATTTGCTACAGCCTCTGTTTCCTTATCTGCAAAATGGGCCTCCAGCAACACCCTGTCCTAAGAAACCTTTTATTTTTGTAGGGCTGGGGACCGAATCTGGGGCCTTCACACTGAGGTACATCAATCAGCCTTCTTATTTTTTGAGGTAGAGCCTCACTAAATTGCCCAGGCTTACCTTGAACTTGGCATCCTACTGCCTCAGCCTCCCAGTGTGCTGGGATGACAGGCCTATGTGCCTGCCAGGTGAGCAAGCCTTTCAGACCCGGCCTCCAAGCCCACCCCTGACCCCGCATGCTGGCCAGCTCGGTCTCTGGCCTCATCCCGGACCCCCACCCACAGGTGCGCGCAGACCTCAGACCTGCTGGCCTCGTCAGCGAGAGCCAGGTCCCGCTCAGGCAGGGAGTCTTCCCAGTCCAGGATGGTGTCTCTCAGCTCCCCGCTGCGGAGGAAGGTCGGGGGGGGTCATGGGTCCTTTGCCACTGTGGGGTCTGGGCCGTGGGGACAGGCACTCACCGGCAAGCACGCAGTCCCCGCGCCTTGGCCACTGTGCAGAGCCGGCCGGTGGCCTTGAGGCCCATGGTGCCCACGACCGTGTCCCGGACGTACTGCCTGTGACGAGGGGAGGAGGTGGTGGAGGGGACAGTGAACCCACACTGCAGCCCTGCACCCCTACCGCTTCCACTTTTCCTCCTCAGTGAGCTGGAGACCGAACCCCAACCCTTTTTCATGTTGAAACAGGGTCTGGCTAAGTTGGCGGGACTGGGCTTGACTTGAAATCCTCCTGCCTCGGCGTCCTGGGTAGCTGGAATGATAGGCGTGCGCCTGGGTTGTTTGTGTTCTCAGTGCACAGGGTGTTTGTGGTGCTTTTCTCACTATAATGGTGCAGCAATGCGGCACAGGAGACCCAGTTTGGCACCTGGAGCTGGGAATATTGACTCTCTGGTCCTTTACGAGAAAGTTCATGGTCGCACGCCTGTGATCCCAATACTCAGAAGGCTGAGGCAGGAGGACTGCTAAGAGTTCAAGGGCAGCCTAAATTAGTCCGCGAGACCCTGTCTCCAAAACAAAAGGAAAAAAAACAAAAACAAAACAGAAGTCTATGGATCTCTGGCCTTGTATACGTTGATGATATACAGTTCTTGGGAATTTTCTGTAGGTTTAAGATGAAGTGCTGCTGGATTAGGATACCTGACTGGAGCCCTTTTAAAAAGGGAGAAGACAGCCAGGTGCTGGGGTGCACACCCATAACTCCAGCATTGTAGGAGGCTGAGGCAGGAAGATTGCCAGTTTGAGCCCAGTATGGGCAACTCAGATTCAGACCCAGGGCTGCAGCCACCACCAGGCCCAGGAGGTGGGAAGGGCCTCCCTGAAAGGGCCCACAGCACCGTGACTTAGCCTTCTGGACTCTGCCCCTCCCAGGCCTCCCTCCTTGCGGCCCTGGGACTGACAGACCTCAGGGCCAGCTGCTGAGTCCCCCCACAGCCGCCACGCGACACTCACGTCTTACACTTGGCGCATTCCTCTATGAACATGTTTCCATGCAGCTCCGCCAGCTTGTTCCTGGGGGGCGGCAGGAGGGTTCCTGGGTCCCCTCTTCCTGGGGACACCAGCCCTCACCCACAAAGCCCACTGACTCCCTCTCTCTGCTCCTCTTGCTTGACACTCCCAGTCATGTGCTGTGTGGCCCTGGGCAGGGAGCTCAACCTCTCTGAGCCTGAGGCATCATTAACCACACCACGGACCCCACCTCTGCCCATGGGCACCCACTGCCTTCACCAAATGCGCTGTAAGAGGAAGGGAATCTGGTACAGGCAGGAATTCAAATTCCCCCATGTCTGGAATGGTGTGTGGTACCCAGTAACTGCTCAGAAAACACCGTCCCACCAGTTTGAATTGGGACTGGGTCCCCATGGGGGATGTGGTGTGGGATCCTGGGGTTCTCCACACTCACGCCCAAGGCTCTCACCCCAAGGTGGGTGTGGGAAGACACACCTGTCACCCCGGCACACGGGAGCCATGTCTAGCCGGTGTCTCTGACCAGAAAGGGTCAGACACTGTATGATCTCTGGATGTCACGGCCGGAGCAGGGCTCACAGTGACCCAGGGCCCCTGGAGGCAGGATTAAAAATCCCAACTCCACAGCTACCTGGCTCCTGGAGAGAGGGCATTTACACGCCAAAGGGGAGGGATTAGACTCACGGTGGTCTCCACAGAAGGGAACAGGGGCAGGTGCTTGCCTGGCATGAGGGAGGTCCTGGCTTTCACCCCTGCCCTGGGGAAAACAATCACCCGCCTTCCCACTAGTGGCCACGATAATCAATAAAGATGGGCGCTGAAAATCCCAAATGGACCCGGTCTGGTGGCCCACGCCTGTCCTGCCAGCACTCCGGGGGCCTGAGGCAGGACGATCCCACGTTCAAACCCAGCCTGGAAAACTAAGCAACTGTGCAAGACCTTGTTTTAAAAATTAAATAAAAAAAACAGGGCCGGGGATTTAGCTCAGTGGCGCCGCCGCCTGTCTCACAAGCGGAAGGTCCCTAGTTTGATCCCTGGTACGAAAAAGAAAAAAAATAAAAATAAATAAAATAAAACAAAGGCTGGGGACGAAGCGCAGCGGGCCGGCCTGGGTTCCACGCCCAGTGCTGAACAGTAATGAAACCAACTATGAACCCTAAATCTGCCCGACAGCCCCAGCGACTTCCTCTCTGCGGAGACTGGGGCCATCTGCATCCAGCCCGGGCTGTCACGCTGACCCGAGGGCCCCTGGGGACAGCGGCGGTGGAGGGCACAGGGTGAGGGGCGACTCGGCTACCCGTACCTGGGGAAGCCGGAGCGCACGTGCAGCCCGTCCACGTTCTGGCTGACGAGGAAGCGCAGCAGCCCCAC